ACTTGGCAGAGCAGCCTATTGAAGATTACCAATCGATGAGGTTTGATTTTCCTGACGAGGATATCATGTACCTAAAGATGAAAGATTGCGAAGAGCCGTTGCCAGACGAAGGACCAGAATTGGGCTCCAAATGGAAGTTGATCTTTGACGGAGCTGTAAACGCCTACGGTAGCGGAATAGGGGCAATCATCACTACTCCACACGGGTCGCACATCCCGTTTACTGCCCGATTGACCTTTCCAGTTACCAACAATGAAGCCGAATACGAAGCTTGTATCATGGGGCTTGAAGAAGCCATTGATTTGCGAATCAAAAATCTGGATGTATACGGAGACTCAGCTCTGGTGGTGAATCAAATAAAAGGAGAATGGGAGACACGTCAGCCCAATTTGATACCGTATATGAATTACGCGAGGAGATTGCTGCCTTTCTTTGACAAGGTTGAATTGCATCATGTACCGCGAGCGGAGAATCAGATGGCTGACGCCCTGGCCACTTTGTCTTCCATGTACAAAGTCAACTTCTGGAACGAGGCTCCCAGAATTATTATCTCCCGGCTTGACAGGCTCGCCTTCGTGTTTGCAATTGACGAAGCATCCGATGATAAACCATGGTATTTTGACATCCTTAATTTCCTGAAGAACAAAGAGTATCCGGCTGGGGCATCCAGTCAAGATCAGAAGACTCTCAGGAGATTGGCGGGTAATTTCTATTTGAATCCGGATGGTGTCTTATACAGAAGAAATCACGACTTGGTGCTACTGCGTTGTGTAGACGAAAAAGAGGCGAAGCTGCTCATGGAGGAAATACATGAAGGTACCTTTGGTACGCATGCGGGTGGGCATGCTATGACGAGGAAGTTGCTGCGGGCAGGTTATTTTTGGCTAACTATGGAAACTGATTGTTTCAAGTTTGCGAGGAAGTGCCACAAGTGCCAAATCTATGCTGATAAGATCCATGTGCCTCCGAGTCCTCTGAATGTGATGTCGTCACCATGGCCATTCTCGATGTAGGGAATTGATATGATTGGAAAGATCGAGCCGACGACTTCTAATGGACATCGGTTCATTCTAGTAGCAATCGATTATTTCACCAAGTGGGTGGAAGCGGCATCTTACGCGAATGTGACCAAGCAGGTGGTAGCCAGATTCATCAAGAGGGATATCATTTGCAGATATGGAATCCCCGAGCGGATAATCACTGACAACGGTTCAAACCTGAATAACAAAATGATGAAGGAGCTGTGTCAGAATTTCAAGATAGAGCATCACAACTCCTCCCCTTACCGACCCAAGATGAATGGCGCTGTTGAAGCGGCCAATAAGAATATAAAGAAGATCGTTCAAAAGATGGTGGTGACCTATAAGGATTGGCATGAGATGCTACCTTTTGCTTTTCACGGTTATCGTACGACGGTACGCACATCAACCGGGGCAACCCCATTCTCGTTGGTATATGGAATGGAAGCAGTGTTACCACTGGAAGTTGAGATTCCTTCGCTGAGAGTATTACGAGACGTCCGACTAGACGAGGCAGAATGGGTGAAAGACAAGTTGAACCAGCTGAGTTTAATGGATGAGAAGAGGCTCGCTTCTTTAGCATACGGTCGTTTGTACCAGAGCCGAATGAAGAAAGCATATGATAAGAAGATACATCCTCGGAGCTTTCAGACGGGCGACCTTGTGCTGAAAAGGATTCTCCCGCCACAGGTAGATCACAGGGGCAAGTGGACCCCTAACTACGAAGGGCCATACGTTGTCAGAAAAGTCTTTTCAGGAGGGGCTTTATTGTTGTCCACCATGGATGGTGAAGACTTTACGTCGCCTGTGAATTCGGATGCAGTTAAAAAATACTTTGCTTGAAAATGACCCGCTGGACAGAAAAAAGAGAGTCCAGGCAAAAATGGGGCATCCTGGCGAACCAAAAACAGAATGAAAGGTTTGGGCAAAAGTTAGGGATAAAATTGAAAAATGTACACCCGCGAAGTTGAAAACCTACACTGGGCGGCTTCAGCAAAAAAGGGTATCCTGGTGAACTGAAAACCCGTAAAGGGCGGTTCACGCAAAAGTTAGGAATTTGATACTGCGTTGAGCTTTGGTGCGGGAGAATATACTCGAGGGGTCGATTATCAGATACAATCTCTTCAAAAGTGTGGATACCGGGAAAGCATTAGAGTCGGGCGAGTCATTGGAGGATCAGCTCGTGATGTTCGTCTGCATCCCGTTGCCGACATGTGTACAAATTTGATTTGTCAATATATTTATGCTTCTTGTGCATACTTGTATATTTGTTGTGCGTAGCTTCCTCTTTTCAGGAGTTACATCCCGTGTACAAGTTTGCAACACCAACTTAAGCTTCATCCTCTTTATTGAAACAAGCATCCCCACCTACAAGTCAAAACAAGAATAAAGTTCATACATCATGAAATAAGTTATTGAAACAGATTTTGAATAAAAACTACAGAGAAAACAAACTTGTAAATATCCATTGGCTAAGATTTAATGTTACGGTTTCGTTTTAGGGTTTCCATATGAGACAGACGAGTGACAGAGTTGTTAGGGTTTTGTCTGGAGAGAGACGAGTGAAAGAGTTGTGGGTTTTGTTTTGAGAGAGACGACTGTTATGTACTAAAGCGAGGAATAAATTCGGTTATATATACATAAGTATCACATTTCATCACGGTTTACAATAAAAACCGTGGTGATATACATGATCAATCACATTTTTATCACGATAAATGGGTAATTGTATGTGATGGGATTCAAACTATTTCCCGCTGTGTACCTTTCACTGTGGTTGCTTGATTTTATCGTTGTGACATGTCCTTTAGTAAATATAAAAAGAGCGTCAAAAATAAACTATTACCACAATTAACACTATGGCCATTGTAAATTTGGTGTTACGAGAGGTCTATTTTGTAGTTGTGCTCTCTCTAGTTATTTTAGAGTTTTACGCTCTCTGTCTCTCTTTCACTTTAGTTATTTTAGGATCTCTCTCCCATATATATATATATATATATATATATATATATATATATATATATATATATATATATATATATATATATATATATATATATATATATATATATATATATATATATATATATATATATATATATATATATATATATATATATATATATATATATATTAAAAGAAGGTATAAAAGGAAATGCGAAAAAAAGCAAATATAAAATGCAAATTGTATATGGACGGGGATCCTGTGGAATAGGGGATGTATTCTTTGCTTCTGTCCCTTAGTGTTTTTGAGGGGACTTTATTTTCCATCTCCTTCTTCGGAGCGGAAAATTCCCTATAATTAAAATCCCTAACAAAAAAAATTACTATAAAAATCTTCTAAGACAAACATATTGACATCCCTAAGTATGAAACTCTCTAAATCTGTCACTTAACTTAGTCACAAAGTTGTGAGAGAATTTAATTTTCCATATTTACTAGTTTTTGTAGCTAATTGTTTTTGGTAATGATTGATGTACCAATTAATTTTTGTCCCGTAGAAAATAAATGTGTATGAATTCTAAATGAATATTGTCCTAAATGCAAATAGTATCAGTAATTAGAGAGTAGAGACATTCATTCTATATAAGATAAACACTTCAAAAGGGTTACAGAAAAATGAAAATTAATGATAAAATTTATTAATTGTATTGATATGGATTGAAAAAAAAGTGACATGTAAATAGTGGTGGCAAAATGCGTCGGATCTGTTAGTCGATCATTTGACTTGTCTTTTTTGATGGATTAGGTTGAAGTTTTCGCCTCGGTATTTTAAATTGGTCTATTTCGTCTAATCCGCTTGAAAAAGCGGGACGAAATGTATTTTGTCCACAGATTTTTTGTTAAATTTTTTTAATTAAAATTAAAATAACTTTAACTATAAAAACAACAATCTTCTCTTAAGTTTATGATATTGAGTTCTATTGTAAATTATTATACAAATAAAATTATAATTGTAACGTTATTTCTATAAGTTTCTAATGTATGACTTGATTGGAAAATTTTAAAATAAAAGAATAATTGTATATCATTCTGAATAATTAAGTTGTCAAATATTAACTCACATGTTTTCTTTAAAAATAAATGTTGATTTTAAGAAAATGAATGATTTGATTAGTGTATTCGTGTGACAAATTTAGGATTTAACAACTAATCAATCAATCAATATAAAAGTCTATATGATGTAAATAGTGAGAAAATCAGGTGTTGATATTTTATTGACTACTATTTTATGCACTGTGATGTTTTATGCAGTGTAACTGTTATCATTGTTTGTCTTTTGTAAATTCTTAATTGGATTCTTTTAGTAGTTAATTTTTAAATAGGATTATGATGATATGTATTGTTTATTAATTTATTTATTTTGATACGTTTTTTTATTGTGTTTGAGTTTATTTCGTTTTTTTTTTGTAATTGATATTTATTTATTTTATTTCTTGAAATGTTTGGACTTAAGATATGTTGAAGTTCTATTATGCCTTCTTAAAAAAAAATTTGTCAATCTCTTTGATAATAAATTTTTTTTTTTGTAAATTATATAATAAATTAAATTATAAAATAAAAAATATAAAATTAGTGGGCTGACCCGCCAACTCATTAATAAATAGGGCGGACTTGATTTTTGAACTCGAACACCTAAATTAATCCGTCTTAGACGAATTTAAAAGGGACAGATCTAAACGAAACAGATTTTCCACTTTCCGGTAAAATTTTTTTTATCAATATTAGTTTTTTTTTCTCAAAATTAATTGACTAATACTATATTAAGTGTCCTATTTATGTAAAAAAAAATCATCCAATCAATTACATGACTATTAATGTGTATATATCCAAAATGCCCCCACTTTGTCTTGTTCCCCTCTAGACCCTAAGTGCATATATATCTTTCTCTCCCTCCTCCACTTCATATATATTTGTAATCCATATCCATTTACCATATAGTAGTTTTCTCTTCTCTTCTTTATCTTTAATTTTCCATCAATGGATCAACTTGAAACTTTATCCACCAATAATTCTCTAGTTTTTCCACTCATCACCACCTTAATCATTTCTTCAATACTAATAATTTTTTTCACTAGTATTTTCCCATATCTCACATCATGTTTCCACAAACTTTTTAGTACTAGTCTCTTTTGTAGTTGTGAAATTTGCCAAGCTTATCTAACTTCAAGTTGGTCAAAAGATTTCAACAATCTTTGTGATTGGTATACTCATCTTCTACAAAAATCACCAACAAAAACCATCCACATACATGTCCTAAGAAACACAATAACAGCAAATTGTGAAAACCTCGAGTACATACTCAAAACAAACTTCGAAAACTACCCAAAAGGAAAACCTTTCTCAACAATCCTTGGAGATTTTCTTGGCCGTGGCATCTTCAACGTGGATGGTGAATTATGGAAGTTTCAAAAGAAGATGGCAAGCTTAGAACTCAACAAAAACTCCATAAGATCCTTCGCTTTTGAAGTTGTCAACAACGAAATCCATCACCGTCTCATCCCTCTACTCAAAAACCAAAACGACGTAGTTTTGGATTTGCAAGACGTTTTCAAGAGATTCTCTTTTGATAGTATTTGCAGATTTTCCTTCGGTTTAGACCCTATGTGTTTAGAAAAATCACTACCCATGTCGGATTTCGCTCTTTCTTTCGATTTAGCGTCAAAATTATCAGCAGAAAGAGCCATGGTTGTGTCTCCCTTAATATGGAAAATCAAAAGATTCTTCAACATGGGTAGTGAGAAAAAGTTGAAAAAAAGCATCAACATCATTAACATGTTGGCAAAGGTTGTTATAAACCAAAAAAGAAAAATGGGTTTTTCTAATCATCAAGATTTGTTATCAAGATTCATGAGTACGACAATTCACGACGACATGTTTCTTAGAGACATAGTCATAAGTTTCTTGTTAGCCGGTCGTGACACCGTGGCATCATCACTCACAAGTTTCTTTTGGTTACTATCAAAAAACCGTGAAGTGGAGTCAGAGATTTTGTTAGAAGCTGAACGAGTAATAGGCGTAGGAAACAACTTTGGTGTAACGAATTTCGAGCAACTTAGCAAGTTACATTATTTACAAGCTGCAGCATATGAGAGTATGAGGCTTTATCCACCGATTCAATTTGATTCCAAATTTTGTTTGGTGGATGATGTTTTACCAGATGGTACAAAGGTGAAAAGTGGAACTAGGGTTACTTATCATCCTTATGCAATGGGTAGGTTAGAGGAATTATGGGGGGAAGATTGTTTGGAGTTTAAGCCTCAAAGGTGGTTGAAAGATGGTGTGTTTCAACCTACAAATCAGTTCAAGTATCCTATTTTTCAAGCTGGGTTGAGGGTTTGTATTGGTAAAGAAATGGCTTTGATGGAACTTAAAAGTGTGGCAATTTCTTTGCTTAGAAAGTTTCGTATTGAATTGGAGGAAACATCAACAACAGCCTTGGGTTGTGATAATCCTAGATTCTCTCCTGGTCTTACTGCCACTTTTGCTTTTGGTCTACCTGTGTTTGTTCGTGAAAGAGGGACCAATTGTGAAGCATAGTACTATGCATCTATGTCTATGAAGGTTGTACTTGTCAAAAATGTGTACCTAGTACTTTTTAGAATTCAATGGTTTATATTGTTTGAAGATTTCATTATGTGAGATAAGTGCAATTTACAACTCCCTAGGTCTCGTATTAAGATTCCAGATTGGGAGTGTTTTGTTTATATTATGTGATTTTTTATTTTAAAATATCATGTATAGTGTGTATATCATTATTTATTATATTTAATTTCACTAGTTTAGAGTATTGTGATGGTTATTTTTTAAAATACTTGTTTTGTGTTTATACACTATTACAAGTTGTCTTATAAATGTTAAGAACTTTGACTAGTCTGATGGGTTATTACAAGTGTGACTACATGTACGTACGTGTGACAATTAATGGAACCAATATATTGAAGGCTATTTTGAAAAATTTCATGCAAAGAAACAAAGTCACAAATTCAAGCTTAAAAGAGATTATAAAAAAAATTGGAGACTCAAATTGGCAAAATTACTACATCTCTAAACTCACAAGAGTATGAGGAATCAAAGGCCACTTATATATCAAAGGAAGACACTCCAGAAACTGAAATAGAGCAGCCCATTACAATCACATAGAGCAGTCCATTACAATCACATAAACTGTTGATTCATCAAATCCAAATATGAAGAAGGTGAAGTCTTCTGTCACGTCACTTACACAGAAGATTCCACTTCTGTCACTTCAGAATATTTCTGTACACCGTGTTATCAAGAATGAGTATGTGAAGGCCTTTATTTCCACCTTAAAACTAAAGAAATAAAAATCGGAATTAAATGATGTTGTTGTCGCCTCCTGAGGTTGAACAAAGTCGAATGAGGGAAGTAGAGAAACGGTGGAAGAAGAGAAAAAAAATTCACAAAAATCTGAAATAAGAAAAATCAGTAGGCTTGTAGCCTGATAGGTATTTCTCCATTAACTTACAACTTTTTCATGATTAAATTTTATGTTCTTAGTTACTGTCATGTTCTGTCGTGCCATAACCCATCAGACTAAAAGTGAGAACATTATTCTTACTTTAAGTTTGGGGGTATGACACCTTTTTGCTGCCGCATTATTTTAATTTTTTATGAATTAATGATTTTTTTTGTTTGTGTTAATGTGTGCTAAAAATAGAGAAATAATGATTAACCAAGCCTTGAATCATTAGAATTTCAAAAAAAAATATCTTAGAAGATTTTTCATTAGATTGTTGAAAAATATTGGAAACAAAGTCTTGATAAGAATCAATGCACAAATTTGTGGCTCAATCATTACCTCTGTCGTGCCAAAAGAAGTCAGAAAACTAGTTAGCATTTTAAGAAGTTTGAATTATCCTAAAGTATGGAATAAGATTCATTGTAGGATTTAGTTTAGGGGAGGAAAATACTAGTAAAATAAGGCTAACACGAGGATCTACTACATCTACTAAAATGTTAAAAAAAAACATAAAACTGTGTAAAAAGAATGAAAATGCCAAAGAGCACGATGACTAAAGTTTATGTGCCCAAAACTGAAGGTACAATGGATGTCTTCACCATTAGTTACAGGTTTGACTCCTTACAAATGAGATCCCGTCAGGTGAAAAGGTGGAGCATCTAGCAAAAGTTACTAAGAAAAGTGATGCAAGTAGAATCCCAAGTTCAAAATGAACCAAAAAGTGATGCAAGTAGAATCCCAAGTTCAAAATGAACCAAAAAGTCAATACATATAGTAAGCTAGTTAATCCCATCTGGCGAAACTGAAAAATAAAGTCTTGGACCATAGGATGAGACAACCAAATTTGAATTTACGCTAATTATCTTGAATGAAGACTACTGGCATGACATGCAACATCATGGGTTACACACATACGCACCAAATAAGCTAAAATATGATAAAGACTGAGTTGTGCCAATGTTTAGATACAATCCTTTAAGAAAGATTCTGGTTGTAAGAAATGTGCTGGTGATTTAAAGATTTTGTGTGGTTGTTATTTCTTTTTGATGTTATCTGTCGCATAACTTGAGAAAAAGTAATGATTCAAGTTTGGGAGTGTGATAACTAACTTTATGTGAGATATTTAATCCTTTTATACTTGAATTTTAGGGTAATTTATATCTTGAGTAATTTCATTTATTTATGTTTTATGATGCTTTAGTTAATTTAAGATAGAGCACATTAGATGCTCTGTTTTGTCATTTTTATGTGTTTTGTGCTTGTGCAAAATTAGCTTAGGTGTCGCGTACTGTCATGCCAGGAATCTGTGAACACCATCCAACAGGCCTTGAGCTAGAAGATGCCGGTATGCGTTCTCAACTGCAGTGTTAATGCTGACGTGGCAATAATTTGAGAAGAAAATAGGGATGAGTTGGAGAAAATGAATGGATAAGGATGAAATGCTACAAGACAAAGGAGAAAATTAGTGGATAAGGATGAAAAACTACAAGACATAACTCTAAAAAGTGTGTTTTTGGCCTGTTGCTGCTACTCCTGCAATTCTGCCACAACATCATGTTGTCTCCCATGTGCATTGTACTATCATAGTACAACATAAAGGAATATGCTTTATTCTTTGGGCTTAAGCTAATGGATCATTGTAAAGGCCCAAGAACCAAAGAGAGACAATATATAGTTGGAATCCTCTATAAATAGACGTGCAATGTAATGAAGAAAGAAGTTCTGAAACTTGGAAAATTCTGTTGAAGTGAAATAAAGGAAGACAAAGACAAAAAGGCGAGGGGAGGCGTGACAAAATTCATCACATGCTATTTAGAAAATTGCAAGTGATTAAAGTGTGACCCTTAGGTTTATCATTTCTATCTTCTTTCTAAGGAATGTTTAGCTTAAGATCCTTTTGTGTTGTGCTTATTTTTCCCATTACGAGCTAAACTTGCTTTGATGGATAATGTAAATTTTATTGAATTAGTAATCTTTTGAATGTTATGAATGTGTTGTCTTGATATATTTTGTGTTAGACGATGGCACGAATCTAGAAGGGGGGTTGAATATATCCCTTATTAAAAAATCAGTCGGCGCTATCAATAAAATTGGTTTTAAAAAATTGTTTAAATTGCGGAAGCGGCTGTGGAAAAATTACCGTCTATAACGAACCGTTACTAGAAGACCGGATATGCGTCTAGCCTTTGGAAATTGATAAAGAGAAATGAGAAATAAGAATCACCACGCTAGTCACACTATCAATTGATTTATATCACTACTTGGTATGACTAGTTCCAATGCCTTAATATGCCAACAAAATAATTGGACAGCACAAGAGAATTTTGGTTCAGACAATTTATCAAACACTTGGCGTGCGGAGCACTCTAAGTCATTTCGGCCTTGAGTAAGTAGCACTAGTTTCCTTGTACAATAAACTATTGTAGTATAGTTAAAATTACTTCAGTACTCACTCAACAGTCCTTAATTCGATATTATTGTTTGAACTAAATTCACGCAAATATTAAGCAAAACGAAAATGAGAAATGTAAAAGGCACAAAGATTTGTTGAGGCAGTTCCCCCGCTGTCCTCGCTTCCGGCTACGTCTGCCATCAATTATAACAATAGAACTGAGCCCGTATAATATAAATGTAACATGTTGTTGAATCGTTTATACAAGAATGGAATAGCAAATGAACAAACAAACTCCCTTGTTGTTGAATATGCTTTCTCTTCTTGTCCCTTGATTCGAGTAGAATCAAGTCCTTTGATTGCTTGTGGATGAACCTCCGATTACAGCTCCTTGGTTGAACAACCTTGTGTTTTCAAACCCCAGCCCGCTTGATATCAAACACTTGCGAATCGAACCCGAACCTCTCCTTCACAATTCACTAATTCCCACTACTAGATCGACGGAACCCACCGCTCCTAGATCACCTTCGCTCAGCTGAATATATGTTGAGAAGATTCATACCAAAACCCCCTAAATTTGGTGAATCTTGGAGGACAAAACCCTCAAGGTTTTATTCAAGAAAAACCTGCCAAAAACTCAACCCGAACCGGATTCCCAATCAACGGCTTCAGACATTATCACTTCAAACAAACCATAATGCACAACAAAAATTATTGTGTGTGATTGTTGTGGTATGAATTGTAGAAGATGAATATGATGAGAACTAATGGCACCTATTTCACTTTTCTTGTTTTGCAATTGATTCAATTGTTGTCTATGAAAATGAGCAACTTTCTATTTATAGTATGCCAAAAAAATAACAGATAAAACCACTTTTTGAAATAAGTGGAAAGACCTGAAATATGCAGAAAAGCAGCGAACGATCGACCATACAAAAGGAGTGGTCGACCGGAACTCTTCAGACAGAACAAACTATGCAAAGTAACAGGCTATGCGTCGACCAAAACAGGACCATGCGTCGACGCAAATTCTGTATTTTTAGACAAACACAAATAACAATCAGTATGCATCGACTGGAGGTCGACGTGCGCCAACCCGTGGGAAATACACTTTGTAGACACCTTTTATGAGTCGACCGGAGCAAAATGAGCGGTCGACTCAAAGACTTGTATTTTGCAAAAATGCCTATTCTTATGTTTTTGACACTTTTAGATGCAACACATAATCCACCAATGATGTTTTACTCGAATAACGCTAATTTGGTGACACAATATGCAAGAAAATGAGACGTAAGAGATAAGGTATGCTTATGCCTTGTGGTGATAATGCCAAGTACCGATTCTTCCATGTGGTTGCGTTTTGACATCATTGAAACACACTTGTATGGTATATGAGGCATTGTCCTCACATTTTGCTCATGTGAATCTATGCTATATATTTATTCCTTTGTCTAGCCACCTTGGGAGTAGATAACAACTTGTTAATATTGAGAGAACTTTTGACTAGTGGAACTCATAAGTAAATATGTTTGAAAATAGTAGAATAGAGATATTCACTATATTAGCTACTTTAGAGATAAAGAGCTACACTCACAGGGGAACTTCAGAATGAACCCAGACATGCACCAAGGTCACAAGTGAGGCTTAGAGATCTTCCCCCTTGCT